AGAGTTTCAGGGAAAAGAAACTTTCAAGTTCCTGAACCGTCTTATACTTTATTCTTTGCTACATTACCTATAAACAATTTTCTTCTCATGCAAGAACTGGAGCCCCAAGACTACGCAGGCTGTATAAAACCTAAAAGAGAGAAATATTTATCAGGAAATATCTATGAGAACCAAGTTAAAAATTTATAGCACCTGGAAACTAGATAATTCTAACTCACTGTGCCATATGCTCCGGAAAGACGTCTTCATGTATGCGCATCATAAGATCACCACCCGGCGTATATTCCATCACAAAACAAGCATGATGAGGTGTCTGGAAACATGCAAACATATTCACAAGGAATGGATGATCAGAAGAATTGACCACTTCAAATATTCGCTTCTCACAGTTCAAGCTGCCAGGATTCAAAGAAGAAAAACATCAATGTTAAGACTTGGCAGAAAAACCTGTTTTGAGAAAGACAGGATGAAGAAGAAAATCTTTACATCTTAAGCTAGAGAAATAAAAAGTGAGGGCTAATACAAATATTTATCTTACATACTTCCAAAACTTTGAGTTTTAGAGTGTTCTTCAGGTGTTATTCCACCAGAAGCTAGAAAGCAGTTATGAGTTTCCTTATTCCTGATTTTAGTTACCCAAGCCTTAAGGTCACATTTAACCTTAACAGTACCATGACCAGTAGACATCATACCTACTAACATTTGATTACAGGTATGTTAACGTAGCCTCTGGCAATAGTACCACCTCTAAACAAAGCTCACCTATCAATTTCGTCTCTCCTAATAATATCTTTTTTCTTCAAGGCTTTGATAGCATACAGCTTCCCAGTTGGCTTGTATTGGGCCAGCAGTACCTGAAAGACAACAGAAAAGCTGTACTTCAAACAAATCTGTTGTTTCCTTATTGGATTACTTTGACTCCCATTGACGCAAACTATTTCCATCCACTCCAAACAGTCATTCTCAAAACCAAGCTCAAGTAACTCCAGAAATGGAGCACTTTTTTCCTCCTCCTTGCGCTGCAGCAGTCCAGAAGGATGTCAGTGTAAGTTATATTCTTTTCATAAACCGTAGTATCACAGCTGGCCGAGCGCTTTATGAGAACCTCAGAGCTCTCACAGCATGCAACTATGCACACAGTTTTTGGGAATGGAGCTATTCCGCTAGTGATCACAATGACAATGAAAGGAACAGTAACGATGTGCTTGATGAAATGACTTAGCGCTCCCTGGATGGTTTCCTCCAGGCTTTGAAGCCACAAATCTTCAGGAGTTTTGACTGATAACAGGAGTTATCAGCTGCTTGTATGGTTGGGTTGGGTTTCTTTTGTATATCTGCATTGCAACAAATCCCTTCTGTACTGCAAAGTTTCTATTCAGACTCTGAGGCAGAGGCCCATCTTCACAACCACAGTCCTACTGGCCTCCTCCACAAAGCGTACACTTCTACACTACCTTCCCGAAGTGGCCACGTCCCAACATAGCGATGCAGTGAAAATCCGCAAGCTGAACTGTCCTTTTCCTGCAGACAAACAAGGAAGAGTTGCTGAGGCGATACCCAAAAGATGCATAAACAGGTAACAAAGGAGCGTGTATTTGTGTCAGGGGAAGAAGCTCTGTATAGCAAAAGGGAAAGTGAACAGCTGTGTCAACCACTCCTCACCCAGGCTGAAATCCTGAAAACTTAGGCTTGCTGCTGCTGTTCTACCACTGAAGAAAGGAGCAGGTAACCATAAGGCAAGGAAACTGCTCCCAGCGGCAGCAGTCTGACTTCTGCCTGTGCTGGCAATAGGAGCAACAATTCTGACTCTCCAAGGCTTGCTCTCTCTGTTACTTCCCATAACAGGATTAGTTCCCCCTGACTCCCATCCTTGGGGTAGTAAAGTTCAATTTCGCCTACACTCCTTTCAGCAGGCTCAACAGCAATTGTGCTAATCAGACATGAACATGTATATCGAGTGCTAGTAGGACAAGGGCGTAAGGAGAAGTTCTCAAACAGGAACGGGAAATGAAACATCGTGAGATAACAGGCATTAAGATGTTGCTGAAAAAAAAGTAGCTGAATAAAGAGATGCTATAGAACATTATGTCAGCCACAAGGTGTTACCAAGGAAACTAAGGCTGCTTAATTGCTTAGAAAGAATTTAAAAAAAAACAGAAAAGCAAAAAAAAACCCCAACCCACACCCTAAAAGCTTTAGTCCAGGATCATCTTTAAAAGACAGCAGACACTCCATACTCTTCCACTGAGTGAAATGAAGGACTAGGTATCTACTCAGGAAGGACTCAACTCCCTCCCCAGCCTTCTCAGAGAGAAGGCAGGTAGGTGCCTGACCGCATCCTGACTACAGGGGTTTGAAGATGGGACCCCTCAAAAGTGATGATGAAATTATGAACATAATTCTATGATCTGAACTGCAAGTTCAGCTTAGATAGATTTTGCTCTTTGTGCTTTTTTTTGGTCAGTATTTGTTCAACAATATTATTTTTTTTTTACTTGTCCTGTTTTTGGTATATTTAGTACTGTGTATCTTTGCTACATACAAATTGTGTATATATAACTGCCACAGACTATAAACAACTGACTGTTTTATGCCTCCCTATATAATGAAAGACAGTGTATCTTGCATATCAATAGAAACAGAAGAGTGTGAGGGATGCCAAAAGTATTTCTGAAATGTATTACTTAGAAGGCAGACACATCTAAATATGCTACACCATAAAACCTCAAACACAAGGAAGCACTTGACAGTTAAGCAACTTTACCTTCTCCTAAAGTAATCTATTACATTGTAGTGTACAGTCTATCGATAGGCTAAGTATCGGGGTTAATAAGCAGATAAGGCGCAGCAGACATGTGGACAAGTATAGTTCAGAGCAGACTTTTCATGGTATTGTCTACACTCAGCACTAGGAGTCTGCTGCTGAGAAACCAAAGCATATCTTGAGCAGAATTTTAGACTGCGTGCTCAAAAATTTCAGCCCAGTGCCTCTTTAATCTGTGACCCAAGACAGCCCATGCTGTTCACAATTACCTTGGAGATGCCTGGACTGGAAATTCTGTTAGCACAGAGCTGCAAGACTTCTCCTCAACATGCAGCCTCTTCAGACACTAGGAACAGAAAGAAAATTACAGCGTGTCATCCTCTGGAATCGCCAAGTCAGACCTGAACACCCACATCCAAATTTTCTCCTTTGTCAAGATCCAGCACAACCACAGACAAGTTCTTGCAGCCGGTCATCACCTCTGCTTGGAGGGAAACAGCATGAAAACAGATTGTCTACGGTCACACAAAACTATTCCCATGTACGATATTTTTTTGATAGGGCCAAACCCTTTAAAATAAACACTTTTAGAAGTCCAAGATAAAACATTTCCTTTCTAGAAAAAAGGCATCTCATGTCCCAGAAAGAGTCACAATGATCAGAGAACACAGTTTCCTCTGTCACCAAAGCCAAATGAGAAAGGGTAAGATGTGGTAGAACACAGGTCATTAACCATTATACTACTCAAAACAATTTTCCTGCTCCTTCCTGTCGGAAAAGCAGAGCTCTTCTTCGTTTTGCCCAGTTTCTTTAATGACAAAGAACTTTATCCGGTCCTAAAAGCCTGCCCACCCTCCTTCCCAGTTTTCTCTGTGCAGTCATCTGTTCTGTACTCTTGCCCTGAACTCCCAATGCTGACCTACTTCCCATTTTGCTTCTCCAAGAAAAGCAACTTATAATTTAAAAAAAGAAAAAAAGAAAGAAAGAAAAAAAAAAAAGGGCGGGGGGGAAGAAGAGGTGTAACACTTTCATGAAGACTCCATGCCAAAATAGCTCACTGGATTCTGAATCCCTGGAGATCAGCCAGCTACTGAGGAGGCACCTGCCTAAAGTAGAGTTAATTTCTCCAGTAATGAACAAATAAGAAGAACCAAGCCTTGAAAGAATACCAACCAACAAAGAAAAGTCCCCCTATTAGCCCAGCTGATTACCGGAGAATCTGCAGGAGATGGTGTTGATTCTTTGGAGTTGGCCATCAGAAAAAGGCGTGGAGGCTTGGGTGGTGCTTCATCAGCAAATGTAAGCTTAGCCACAGGAAAGTCGCTGCATTTGTAAGACAAAATTGAAGGAGATTGCCTTAGGGCAGAACATTGTACACAGACACCTTTGCATCACCTTTGCTATATAAGCAAAGTTCAGTTCAGTCCAATACACCGGACAACAGGACTCCCTGATTCACACCACAAGTCTGTCAGGTATCAACAAGGCATATGCTCTCCTAAACAAATGAAGAGAAAATGAGCTATTAAGTTGGTGATGGTTAGACTCACATTCCAGCACTAGCTCTCTGATGCTATAAAATTAATGAAACATAAGTGTATAGAAATAAGTCACTATGGTCAAGAATGTAAAGGAAGTCTTGATTTTAATAGCAACACAGTAGTTGATTTTTTTTTTCTTTTGTAGGTCTTGTGAATCAGTGGGAATAGTCTCTTTCAGAGAATGACTAATTCTCTAAAAATTAATTCCAACAATTTAAAAAAATTATTATTTAGAGAATTTTCTTCTACAGCATATTTAAAAGCTTAGTTATCTACCTTCTGAGTGCTACATCATGCTAGTGGTTGGGATACGTGTAACCTCATGAAAGAAGAGTGCATTTTTACCACAACAATCACATTGTGACCTTGCATTGAATTCAGTTACTGTACTGCTGAAGACATCTAATGAGTGGAATTTTCTTTCCTTTGCAGTGCAGAACCAGTACATTTTTTTGTGTATATAAAATAACTTTTGAAAATTTGCTTTTGGTTTGAGGTTTGTGGGTTTGTTTTGTGGTGTTTTGGTTTTTTTTTTGTATAACAGTGTTTACTTATCACCACTTTTATGCCCACAGATCTTACTTCAGAGGAAAAGAAAGCTGCTGAAGTTCCCCTGGCTCTGGAACACACTGCTTGTGTGGACAGCAATTCTGGAAATCAGTCCAACTGCTAACAATAAATCAGAGCTAGTCACAGCATATTGAACACCCCACTAAAACCACATCATTTCAGGCAGCATTGCCCCTGAATTAAGTTTCACAGATACAAGTTTCACATCAATATCTTCCTCCACCTTAGTAAGGTGCAACAGAATTTTAAGATCTACCCTACACCCATTCCAGAGCGTCTTCCAGCAACACTCAGAACATGAGAACTTACCTACTCAATTTGGACATTGAATCAACATGACTTTGCGGGGGAACTGGAGAGAAGTCTGTGTGAATGGGATCATGAAGCGGGGGACTCAGAGTGCTCATGGAACTACACGGAGGGAGGAAACTCATCATCAGGCGACCCCAAGCAGCAACACTTATGTTCATTTGAGGAGCTCGGAGAAATTCTTTCCCTGGAGGAGTCGGAGTCAAAACACCAGTGAGATTACAATGCACAAATTACAATCTCACGTACTGTTAAATTATCATTTTTGCCCAAACACCTGTGGGTTACTCAAAAAGGCAACCCACCCTAGGGAGAATGGGCTTTTTTCCAGGGAAGGAAGTTTAATAATGATGATGATGAAACAGATCTATTATTTCACCTAAGTTCAGCTCCATATAATATCATAACAATCCTCAAGTAGAACTTGCATAAAACATCAAAAATTGCTTTTATTTTAAATCACGTTTTCTTCTATTTCAACACTGCATTTTAATCATGTAGCCTGTTAACAGAAAGTTTCTGAAAATCTCTTAAAAAGAGTAAAACATTTGGGATGTTTTCATTATTCTTACTACTTCCTGAAGAATATAAAATCTCATTTATCCCCACTGCCAGGAGTTCTCAGTATGTAAAGTCTTACCTTATTCAGCTTCACAAGAAAGAATTTGCAGACAAAAAAGAAAGTATGCAAGTTATTCCAGCGCCTAAACTATTAATCTGAGATGCCAGCTCTAAAGACTTGACAGACAATCAGTAGCCTGTTCATGCTACAGTCTTCTATAACTCAGAGTTTTCCAGAAAACCTTCCAATATCTGTCCGTCAGTAACAGCGTTGCTGGTTAAATTAGTACACCTTGAGTTCTGGATCTTGCTAAGAAGTCTGTTAAACAACTAGTAATTATATCTTCCTACCAATGTTCATTGTGAATAGAAACACCACAACAATATCACATTACACACCATGCTGCAGCCAGGCTGCTTGCACTTTTTCTGACTGAACAAAACTTTCACATTCTAATAAAGCCCACCTACTTACCCACAGTAACTAGCAAGCATTTTAATGTCTCACAGATTTAATGGGACAGGAGTGCACGCCAGCCTGCTTGTACAAACCCCTGACCTTACTTACACACCCTAAATAGCGAGCAGTCAGTTCTCCAGCAGCTTACCTTTCTGTTTGGGGAAAATACGTTTCTGTCGCTGCAGTTTCGGCTTTCTCTCAATGACAGGATTACAGAACATCACCTGTCAGAGAAGCAAAGGGGATTTGTCAGGACTCCTCCTTTACACTGTGAACACAAACTTTCACACATGCCTGCTCTCTCATCAAGTTCTCCATTCATATCTGTTTGGTAAGTCAGGAGTCACTCCCATAGACTCCAGACTGCGTTATTCTAGCTTCACCCTCTAAACACCTGTTACTTCAACTATGGCTTTAGATGTTGGAATTTTCTGCTACATGAAATGCAGCAACCTCCCAGAATTAAGAGCAATTCATATCCCAAACAAAATTAATTTGTAAAGCCATGCGTAAAGAACACAGCCATTTGTAGGGTAAAAAAAGTGGTAGTCTGTGACACAGAAATAAAAACCAAAATCAACCCCCACAAAAAAACAAGAAGCAGGGGAAAGGAGGCAAATTTTGGTACATGAGGTCAAGATCTTACTTTTGGAAAGATAACCACAGGAACTTTCATCACAACACAAAGAAGAAAGTACTGTGACTTTTAAGGGATTATCTGGATGATCTCTTCATTGATGGTACTTCAAAGTACTATTAGCCTCAGAAAGATGATAAAATAAGCATAGCCAGAGGGAATTTGGATCTTTGATTCTACAGTCTCTGCGATTCAATTCTGACCATTAAGCCATATGTTTAAGTAAAGCGTCACTGATGACTCATAATGAAAGCAAATAAAAACCAACGGATTTCACAGCACACACATATATAATTACACTGGAGCAGCTGAAGAGTCACTCCGCGCTACAGCATGTGTACATCTATTATATCATGTTGTTCCTTATTCTTATATGTGATATTGATGCAAAAGGATTTCAGGTGTCATTCAACCCTTCTAGATCATTGCTCCTTCCATTCCTTGTATCCTGGGTTGAACAACTGCTTTCAGGACAGGCACCCTAAACAGACAGAGTTCTCTGAAAAAGAAACAAAGCTGACATTTATACCTCTGCAAAAAGCATTCCTTGGGGTTCAAGCGAGAGGCACATCCCATGACGTTCGTTATCAAGGAAATCATCCAAACGTAAAAACTTCACTGCACATAGTTCTCTCCAGTCTCTCCAATAAATTGCAATTTCTAGCTCACGAGACTGGTGGGATGGGTGAGTGGTGGAGGAGAAAAAAAAAAAAAAAGCAGAAGAATTACATACTGCCCCATGCTCTGGAAATTGCACACACACGCTGTCGTAAAAAAAAATCAGTAAACTAAACAGTATGCATAAGAAACTTCTTTAATCCTTCAGTTCCCTGCTTTCTCTGATGTTTTCAGATCCTCCTAGCTAAAGACCCTCTTGGAGATGGCTGTCTTGGCTCCCCGTTTCAGAAATCCCCGTGAGAGTCACTTTGCTGGTAAGATGAAATAAAACTGCTCAGATAAGGAGAGAAGGACAACAGATGCTCTTCAGGCTGAATCTCTGCCAGGGATGCACTGCCTTCAGAGGGAGACTAAGATAACTGGCACGTAAAAGGACCTGGGGACAGCAGCAACACAGAGTTGAATCAAGCGGAATGGCGGCTAGATGAGCAAATCAGGTAAGGTGAAATGGAAAAACAAATACAACACAGGGAATCTGGGGCAGACTTACCCGGTCCAGCTCAATGACAAAGCTCTGGTCCCACGCCTGGTTATTAACTGGTCCCCAGTTTGTTTGGCCAACCACTTTATTGTCCACTTTGAGCACAGCAAGGACCTCATCTGGACAAAGCAGAAAACACGGATTATAATCTTTTACCGAAGAAAGTCTCTCCTGCTGAAGGTAAATATCCCAATCAAATGTAATTTCCAGGAGAGTACTAGGAGGACTAGGTATAGTGCGATTCATTTTCTCTCTTCGTTTTGCAGAAACCGGGTTTCCTGTAATTACACTCATACCGGGCTAACCTAGTGCCTTGGTGAGAAGCCCCCACGCTCCCATATGCCACTCACAATTCAACAGGGAACCCCATACTCACTACAAGGCTCTTCATTCCGCAGGTACTTTCCTGCAACACCACGGCCATGGATACCCAGGCCAACTCGTGGTCGGGAAAGGGACCTCAAATCACTCGGGCTGCCACAGATGGGAGAAGAACTAGTCATTCGGGAACGTCCTGGAACATTTTCCAATAGATCCTGACACCCCATCAGTCTCACTTCCAATGTTCCTGAGGAATTTTAGGAGAGTAAAGAATATTATTATGTAACAGATTAAGTTATTCCAGTCAGCCTGTCCTCACAGGGGTCCAAGAATTTCTCAGATTCATGATTTCTTGGTTAATAGCTCAAATCTATCCCAGATTAATAGACTGCAAATCCATATGATCAGAAAGCTCTGGCTGGCCTACAAGAAATAAGTCCAGTTCCTAGAGAATCAAATGTCCATATAACAAGAGGCATTACATCAATGAGAAGAAATGCAACTCATTTTTCCCTCTGTCCTCCTCACAACAACATGCCAGGCAGGATTTATGTACCTGTTAGGGCTGTAGGTTTGATGACTGAAGTGGGTTGGATGCTGCCATGCTGAGCTCCCAGGGAGGAAGTATTTACTAGTTCCTGCTTGACGAGTGCTCTTTTTGGGTGATCAGGAGAAAGCTCAGTAAGCTGATGTTCCAAGGACAAGCGCAGCAGGTCAATCTTCTGAGAGGACTCTTGCAAACGACCCTGAGCCTAGCAATATGAAGTAGAACAGAAAGCAGACATATTTTCAGTGTACAGCCCCGGTTCAGGTACTATTAATCCTTCATGAACTACTAGAGTAAGCTTCAACAAAAGACCAGGTAACATCTTACTAATACAGGAACAAGATGAAATATTTTCCCATAGATCCTGACTACACCATCAGTGCCACTTCTGATGTTCCTGAAAAATGTCATGAAAGCAAGGAATGTCATCCCTAGAAGGGAAAGTGATCCCAATCAGTCTGTCCTCACAGAGAGGCAGGAACTTCCCAAATTAGTAACTCCTGGTTAACTCTAGTCATTCATGCTAAATCACTAATGTTGAGGCATGAAACCACCCTCTCAAAAAGGCCTGAATAAGTGCTTACCTCAGCCAAAAACTTGCGATCCTGTACCCGACTTCCTCCTAGGATCTTCAGCACATTTTTTGCCCCCTCAGCTACAGCAGCTTCTATGCGCAGGTGATGTCTCAGCTCCTCAATACGCAGCTCCAAAGCACTGATGGTGGTCCCCATCCTCACTAGCCATTTTGGAGATAAAATATGACGAGGATGAAAATTGACTGAGTATTCTGAATCTTAGGGCTTTGGACGCACCTATTCTGGGCTGTATCAGTTACTGAAAGCACCTTACCTGCTGGATCCACTGTATCTTCCATCCCTCCTGCTGACTGAGATACTTTCACAATGTGCATGCGGATTATTTCGATCTTTGTCTTGCTGTCCTGAAGCATCTGCTGAGCTGTAGCCAGCAGCTTTCGCTCCTGCCAAAAAGCAAGCATATGCAGAGAGAGAACCATTCTCATTAAAAACGTATTACGAAGATGTGTTCACATATGAGGATGAGGTGGTACCTGCAAGAAGGGTCATAAATGATCCTGAAATGGCATAGATAAGCAAAGGAGACACCACTGAGGATCAAGGACTTTAAGATCACTATCTCCATTTGTAGAGCAAAAGGACAGGTCAAGGACATGTCCAGTTATACCAAACCTTGCAGTCAATGAGACTTGTGGTTCACTGGCCAACTGTGCTTACCGCATTTTATGAGCAGAGGTTTTGAACAAATAAAAATATCACAATCCTCTACACTGCTCGTCTTACTGAATTAAGCTTCATAATAAGCTTGGATTTTTTTTTTTATTATCCTTTGACTTTTAAATATGATTATGCAAAACTCAAAAAGTGGGATGAATATGAAACCAGTACACCTCTGAAAATTTTTCTCACATAAAGAGATACTACATGCTGTGCTCTCTCCTAAACAACCTAGTGATATCAAAACATCCCACCAACTCAGTGTACAATACCAATGCTTTTTAAACTTTCTTTCCTCAAGTCAGTGACTGAACGTACCTCTTATACTGTCCTCACTACCTTCCCAGGCTTGCAACAGTTTTTCTAGAGACAGCACTTCTATCGTGCCACTTCCTATAAGATTGATTCTCTGCCTCTAATCTAGAGTCACTAAGAGTGTTGAGGTTAGATGCATTAACATCCCTATGTTGGCCTTCGGCCAGCTAAGTTAAGCATCTAGACTGAAGAAGTAATGTAGAGTCTGTAGCTGGCAGGGAGAGGTAGGTCTCTCCAAAGGGCCATTATTCTGTTTGAGAATGATTACACAAGCCACTCTCTAGGTACCTAGCACTTTCCACTGAGACTACAGAAGGATTTACATGGCTAAGTTAAAACAACATGATTCCCAACTCTATCATTAATACCGCTAAGCAACATTCAAGAGCAGAAGCACAATCAGCATCTGCCACCTAAGAACTGCCAAAAAGATCAAAACTGCCAGACTATGCCCGTCTGCCCGGTCTAATAACTCCCCTCTTACAGTGATCACCACCAGATGCTTTGGAAAAAGGCAGAGGCAACGACATCACGGGCCAAAGTGGAATAAACTACACGTTCAGAAAAGCCTTTTCCTGACATCCAGTAATTATAGATTGGCTTAAGCTCTTGACAAATGAAATATGCGCCATCCAATTCCTTGTTGATTCCTGATAAACTCCTGAAATCCGTAACATGCAAGTCTAATGCATAATTGGAGTATTGGTTGCCCTGTGCAGTAACATGACAGGCTGTCACTATGCTGAGCACCAAAATGCAGAGCTAGGATTCAGTCAAGCAAGCTTTGCAAATGAATTTCTTTCACACATCAATTACCAGAGAGAGTCTGTGTATGGACTTTAAATATAAATTTTGATCCAGGAATCCATGTTCCCAAATGGTTGTTTATTGCTGCTTACCTTGGATGCTGAATACATTTGGATCATGTTCTCAGCTCCTTGTTTCACTTTCATTTCAACATGCAGCTGCTTTTTCAGAGCTTCCACCTTCCTTGCCATGGGGTCTGGGTTTCTTTCCCAGAGACAAGGATCTGGAGATACAGATCCATCTGTACAAACAATACAATCAATACCATTAGTCATGTTTCCTTGTGTCATTTCACCGGGTTATAGATGGGTGGCTCTATAAAAGAAGGTTAGGCTATAAAATAAGGTACAAAAAGGTCTTGTCTACAAAACTGGCTGCAAAACACTGTTGTAAATGAAGCTCAAGCTCATATCTGTAAATATTTCTTAGTTTATCAATGAACCTGTCCTCATAAGCACTCTTCCAATTTTTTACTCATTCATCCTGTAAGATACTTGGATGTTCAACCACCCAGAAACTCTATTCGAGTCTCTTCAATTCCACCTACAGCATACTTCTGAATATTGTCCGTGCCCAGCACTCTCAGCTGGTTTTCTCCCTACACCGATCTCTCGTGTTGCCTCCTTTCACCTTTATTGCCCCATTTGCAACTTTTTCCTGCACAGATCACCTTGTCACCTAAATACCAACTGGAGAAACTCCCACTACTTGTGAGTCCTCAACAGAATATATCAATTCAATATATATAAACATCAAAGCACTATAACACAATTTTCCTGTCAATCATGACCCAAGACCTACCTGTCTTACTCTCCTCTTTGTCTGTGATTACAATCCTTGCATTAAGCTCCTGAAGTTCCCAGTGCAGTTGTTCCAGTTTCCGGTTGGAAGATTTCAGCACATGCTCTATATGAACAAGATTCTTTCTGTCTGTTGTCGCTTTGCGCAGGTTTTCTGCTCCCTCTTTAATCTTCAGTTCTTTCTGTATAGCACGGCGAAGTAGTTCCTTCTCACCTTCCAGTTTTTGCTGGAAGCTTGGATCCATTAAGTTCACACCATTGCCCAGCTGCAAGAGACAGCTGCCCTGCAATCAAGCAGCATTGGGCAAGAGGATTTCAGAGATAACACAGTTCAACCATTTTTATGCTATAGCAATACCCTCATAAGATTCCACTCCTTCATTTCACAAATTCTGAAGCCAACCTTTTCACCAAATTTTCAAGACGACAAGACCTACATTTAAATTGCAGAGGACAGAACACAACTTTGATCTTAATATGCCTTAATTTGGTTTTAGACCATAATGGAGAAAAGCTTTCATCTTACTTGTCTCCTTGTTGTTTAATGTCTACACACCTCTTTGTTCTCATCTTTTGTATCAAAGCCCAGCCAATATTTGCCCTTGTTCTGATCAACATTGACTTTTACTAGTATGATGTAGCAGATACAGATTTTTATCTGACTGTGTCTTGGTGCCAGCTGTTCAAAGACACATCTCAACTAACCTGTTAGAGCTTTTTAGGAATGTCACGAGCATGCATTAACGCTCAGCTATTACCCCAGAAGAAATAAAATTTAAAACCTACAGCTGTTTCTACAAATGAGCAAGCAAAAGAGTAAGCTTAACGTTCTGCTGTATCTGAAAAGGGAACCAGACTGTTGTCTCAATCTCTGTTCTGCTTGTGATTTACAGGCAGTAAGGCTGCTGTAAAACACTGATTATTTTGGGGTGCATTAGTAGCATTCACGCTTGTTCTGGGCTTTGTTTTACATCATTTTCAATACTGCTTCTTCTAGCGATATGTGCCTCGTCAACAGCTCTGGACAGAGATGCTCTGTTTACAGACTCTGGAGATACACAGTCTAGGCAGTAGCAGCAGAGGTACATCTCACTGACCAAATACAGACCGAGCTCAGACAGGAGCTGTGAAAGCTTTATCCATAAGGATGCTACCTAACACCGTAACAAACAGATAAAAGCAAGAGGTTACGCTTTTCTGAACAGGAAGACTGGCTTTAAGGCATTCAGACCAATTAATATACTAATAACCTAACATTAACGACTCATCATACTCCCCGCTTAAATGCAAAAGAAACAGTTGCACAGTCAAGCTCCACTACACCAACCGACTTAATGTCACACAGCACGCCAGTGACTAAAGACAGAACTCGGGAATCCCAACTTGCTTTCACACTCTTTAATCGATTGACTACATTTCCAACAATAAACCACACTGGGGTTGTGTTACTCATGTACGTTATTGCACTTTGTGTGCTGTGCATCCAAACCCTATGCCACTCAGGCAGAAACAATTATTTAATCAGATTAGTATATTTTATTATGCACCTGAAAGACCCAGCCCAAAGTTTTTGCTACAATTTCAGTCTAATAGCAAAATAATTAAAGAAGAAGGAAAAAATCTATTTTAAAGTTGGCCTAAAACCAAGTTGGGTCTGCAACAGGTACACAATAGCCAAAATAGGAGTTGTTCAGATTGGTAACAAAACAAAAAGGTTCAGATTAACATCCTGATTTCAGGAAGTTCTCGCCCAATTAGCAAAGCCAGGAACTAAGCCAGAGCTTTGAAAAACGTCCAAAGTTTTGTGAGGAAGAACTTGAATCATGGAGTTCCTGAGTCACAGGCAACCTTTACCAGCTCTAAGTTGGAAAATCAGAAAGCTCTTTATCCAGTCTGTAGTGACTAAAAGCAGTTTGTTGCTTGCAATTCTAATTTAAATAATTAGAAAAAGCATACAGATTTATTTTCTATCCAAACTATGCAAATGAGTGTAAGCAATCCACCCCCTTGATCCGCCCTAAGCAACGGAAAGAGTAGTGCTGCAAGAGTACTGCCGATAAAGGGTACTGAATACAGGGACCTGGGTATTGATTCAGAGAACAGGTACAGCCAGGGCAGTTCTTAGGTCAGTCTTCCTCCACATCACTCTCTGGCAAAAGCTAGTCTGGATACCAGTTAATGCACCACGCTAATTCTCTAGATATATTTAGAATGTAAGCATGGTATGTTTTACTGGATCCTTCTTCCCTTCCACGGATCAGAGCGTGCCATAACGTTGACATGTTTGCACCAAGAAGATAAAATATTCTGTTACTGAGGAGGATGGGAAAGCTGAATTTGCATTTGGGTTGATCCATTTTGCATTTCGACTCAGGAATTTCGATGAGGTGTTGGGATACTGCCACAGCCCATGCTGCAGCTGTTCTTGGGTTCCCAGGGAAGGTCAGTCCTTCAAGGTATGTCTCCAATGCAATCCCAAAACATGTCTACAGCTGGCAGAGAAATACCCACGCTAGCTTAAATTAGCTTGCTTTTGGTACTTGTAGTGGGGCTGCCAGAACTCACCCAGGGCTTCCGCTAGACTCATGTCGTACCCAAGTGTCTAGACTGCTTCCTAACTAGCAAAAATTTCAGCAGTATCAAAGTTGCGCTTAGTCCTTTGGATTGCAGCCCAGGGAGGTCCCATCCCCTCAGTTATGCCCAGCCTGGCAATGAGCTTCACCTGCACAAAGCCCGGAGCAGACCTGGCCCTTAGAGCCTCACCACTGGCACAGAAATTGATTTACCATTCGATTTAACGAGCTAGCGATGAGGAGGCCGTCCCCCCTCCAGACCACACGTGTTCACCGGGACATTTTAAATCACATCTTTCACGGCAGCTTTGTGCTGTAGGGATGAGGCCTGCGTCGGACGGACTCACGCTAGCCACATTCACTCTTCATGAGAAAAAGCCACTGCAAGGTTTGGAAAAAGGCAACTGCAATCCTGTCTGGAGCCAGTCCATTTTCCAACTCCCAAGCTGCGTAAGGGTGGGAAGCGGCGAGCCCGGGAGGCACCGAGATGGCGAGAACCCGGTCGGGCCGCAGCGCTGGCAGCGAGCGCTCTTTGTGCCACTCTCTCCATCCCTTCTTTCCCAGATTAGGCTTGAAACGCCTCAAGGAAAGAGGGCAGGGCATCTCCTCCACTCCGGGGAGCTTATTCCAGAAATGAATGTTTTTCCCAGCACGGAGGCTGGCTGCCCTCCCCTGGCCAGCCCCAGCAGCCGCCTCCCCTCCCACACCGAGCGGGGATTTCCTCAGCGGGCACCAACTTGGCCAGAACCCCATTTCCCTGAGGCGAGGAAGGACATTTTTAGGGGTTCCCACCTACTTCGCACAGCCTCTCCCATCTCCCCGGGGCGCGGCCACGGCGAGAGGCGGAGGAG